TTATTTAAGTAGTATACAATGCATCTAACAATGCGGCTCTTGCAGCCCTGGCTTGGGCAAGGCATCCATGTGCAAAGCAGTGGTGTTTGTTTATCGATGAAAAAAGCACGCCGGGAAAGTTTGCCTTACCAGGAAAAGGTGACGTATCTACCTTATGACGTATGCATGCTAACTAACGTGAGTGTGACGTCACCAAAAAATGAATATTTTCTATTATAACCAAAATATTAATAACTACAAAGTTTCTGGGCGTAAATTCCCTTAATATGTATGAAGGGTTGCTCAATCTTCTTGCCATACAAATTACAGCTCCTAATGACGTCTCAGTCGAGAAATACGGGTAGCTGAAGTTTTTCTCGCAAATCTGACTACAAAACCATATCCAAATTTCACGTTCCACTTTTGAGCCTGAGTTGTGCTTCGCACTCGCCGCTGAGGGCGGCGTTCCGGGAACCCTGCGTCCAGATTTATTATGGTAGAGAGGGATTAGGAGAGACTTTTAGAGATGTGCGCGTCTACAGGTGCTAATTGCAGCACGACTGCAGCCCACAAAATTAAAACCCTATTAAAACTGCACATAAAATTGAGTAATTTTGCATCAGTTTGGCATCCACTCATCCTCCTCTGTTCCAATTCCCATCATGGTTGGTGCTAAGTAATTAATTTTCTTTTGTTTCCCCATTTAATATAATGGAACAAAAATCAACATCACTACTAGGCCCTATGATAGGGGACTATAATACCACCAGTACATATACTCCACAAACGCTTTTTTCATGCCAATTTCTCAAGGATAGCTTAAAGAAGTGTAAAAAGTCTGCAGACACAATGCTAAGCTAGGACCTATTGCACTTCAGTTAGGGTTATCGAATCATGAAGTTATAACTCCATGATCGAATCGACTGTCTGTGCTGTGCCCAACTCATACGGTATGCCGTGAAATAATTATCATACAGTATATCTATCCAACATTCTACCGTGCGAATAAATTTGTTTCGACAATTCGCACGGCAGTCTTATTCGCACGGTAGACCTAGCCAATCAGCATTTAAGGTTTCATGACGTAACGGCTGTCATACCGTACGAATAAGTTCTTATTCCTAATTCGCACGGTACCGTGCGAATAACCTCTTCCTTTAATAATATACAATAAAAATATTCAAAATACTTTCTATACACAACAACATTGAAAACGTCCATTTTCATATTAATAGTTAATCACTACGACTCAGAAAGAACATTTAACTAATTTGTCAATCAATTAATTTTATATTATTCTTAAAGTAAACATATTAAACTATGACAAAGTTTTGTGTACTCTGTACGTCATGTACTTGTATTTATTTTTGTATTTTATATGGAGAATGTGTGAAATAAATGTGAATGAAAAATAAAATACATTGCACTGAATTCCCCCCCCCCACTTTTTCTACTGGGGGAGGGGACCTTCCCCCCCCCCACTTTTGTGACTGTTCCCAACACCAGTGACAAACATTTTACGAACGCTGCAATGTCATTATTGTTATTTATTATTATTATTATAATTATTATTATTATTAGTATTATTATTATTATTATTATTATTATTATTATTATTATTATTATTTGGTGCTTACACCTTGTTTATTTGCGCCTTATAAATTTACCTGTTTATTATTATAACTTATAGATTTTTTTTTTCATTTTCTAACGAACATTACAAGTTCCCTTTTTGAGTTGAGCAACCAAATTTTGATTGACGTCTGTATACGTGCGTCTGTAGACTGTGAAGTTTCCTTGAAACCCACCCTGCATGAAGAAAAAATCGCCTGCATTCGTGAATTCTGCATTTAGGCATATGGGGGAGGTAGACACTCTTAATGCAGCGACGTTCTAGTTCTCTTTATGCTAACCACGAAGATATATAATAAGTGTAACTGATTGGCTTACAGTAAACCTTAAAACTAGCGTAATATAACCACATTTAAACTCCATCTAATTTAATGAACACAATAAGATACTTATTTTCTAAAATAAAATTCTCTGAAGGTTAACTACAGAATTTAAAGTACACTTAATGTGTTATAGGTTGTAAAAACTATTGAGTAAAAAAATCTTTCGAATAAAAAATCTTTCGCTTGACATTACGAATTAATCATTTGTGAAACAAAATGATAGGCTATGTCAAGTTTTATATTGAACAGT